TGTGACAGCCAGAACGGACCGTTTCCAACCCCATGAAGTTTATTCACTCTTGATCAGCAGCAATATAGCCTAGTTCTCAGAGAAATTGGATTTTGTGTGCCCACCGCCCTATCACATCGCGAGAATCCATGTGCCATCCACAAGGTGGAAGATACGAGAAAATAAAAAACGTAGAGCCAAAGAGCACAATAGAAAGTAACGATATCCAGCAGAATCACACCGCGGTGGGATCAATAGCCAGAATTAGGAAAACCTTTTCCCCTGGCTGACTTTCTTGTTTCGCGCTTGCTCTCTCTCTCTATCTGCCTCTCTTTGTCTTCCTCGTCCAACGTGGCGCCCCCTGGTGGGATATAGACAGATCTCAGGGATATATATTGTTTATGTTAAGCTTAGGCGTAACATTAAATATTTAGAAGGTAGTAAAGTGAGTCAGAACGTAAAAATTTGTATATTTATTTATATATACATATATATTTCCATATATATTTAACTATAAACATCTTTTAGCATTAATTGAACTGCTTTAATTACGAATAGATCATTTAAGAATCTATGTATATTCTATAGCGTTTTTGGCCTTATCATCATTTGAGAAAATGTAAGCGAGATTGTGAAGTCATAGTCTTTCCAAGTAGCCCAAATAATGCCGTCCCGCACTTCACATGTACCATCTTTATAATAGTTTCCATTGAGATGACTGTATTAATAAGAAAGTCACATTATAAGTTTAGAATAATTAATAGCGTTAAATTTGTAATAGAGTGACTACCTTCTTCCGCAAGCAGAAAACCACCAACCACCTCCAAACATTTTCGCGCAATTCCTTTTCACATTAGCGTCATTATCCCGGTCCAAAGTGGAAAATTTCATGTTCAGTTGAAATTTAGTTAAGGAATCTCCGGCTGTTCCTGAATATTTTCCCAGCGATATCAGTTCGTAGGCTTCCTCCTCGCTCCCTATTTTGAAATCGTCGTAGCGAGCATACCTGGTGCTTCCATTAACATCTTGGAGTTGAATGTACAGCTCGTGAGGCTGGAGCAGGGTCATTCGATGGATTTTTTCCAGTCCCAGAAAGAAGTTCTCCCGGAGGTCGCCGAAACCCATTTTGTAGTCTGTCCAGCTCCGATTGAAGTTCTCGTTGGCGTTCACTCGTCTCTGGATGAGAGTCCAACCGGATCCAGAAACATTGGAACAACAATGCACAATGAAAGGGTCTGTATCGAACAACCTTATGCTGTGGACATTGGTGGAGTTGACAAAGGGTAAGCAACTGCTGGCTTCATATTTTCCTCTCAGCAGCTCTGTTTCTGAGGTTAGATTTTTGAATTGTGACTCTTTTTCGCGAACTGTGGATTCGAATGCTTTTAGCAAACCCTCTTTGATCGCCAGCTGGTCTTGGCCGTGTTTGATTTCCACCTCCTGATCCTTTATTTTGGCATGGCATTTTTCGATTTCCTCCTTTGTGGAGATCAATTCATCACGGCTTTTATTGGTTTCCGTTTCTAAAAGTTTTATCCTGACCGTAAATGCTTTGATATCTTCCGTTTTGTTGTTCAGTTGTAGCTGGTACTCTTTTATTTGCGTTTCCAAATCGATTATCCTAGAACTTTTTAGCTCGTTTTTCTCGATCGTAGCATTTAGCTTAATAATCTCTGCTTCCGAACTATTTATTTTAGCTTCAAACTGTTCTCTCTTGATTTGTTCGTCTTTGTCTGCAATTTGTTGGTTTTTCAACTTGATTTCTTCGTCTTTATTTTTTAGCTGCGTCTCCAATAAGTATATTTTGTTTTTTAAATCTCCATTTGCATCGGATGCCACTTTCGACCGGATAAAATGATCAAAGAATAACTTAACAACTGAAAAACAATATTCACTGCACTGATCCTCGATGCTGAGTTCCTGCGGCAAATATATTTCTCGGTCTCCACTGGCGAGGAAGGATTCCCCTTGCAGCAAAAGCCAAAAGATGAACACCACAAAACCAGAGCTCCTCATATTCCACTTGACTCTCGCACTCGACTCTCGATTCAAAACCAAACTGAGTGGAATGCAGCCCATTACCATGTATAAATATAAATTATTTCTTCGTTTCTCACAATTAATCACATTTAAAAATGTATAGCAAAATGTAATATCACATTCATGATAAGAAACGTCCCTTCCGTTGTGGTGTGATCTCAAGCTATCAACTCAGTGAGTAAGATTCTCTGCATTCGTCGTATAAGAAATATGTTTATTTATAAATTTGAATGCACTCCATAAGAAACTCCAACTCAAGCGGTTTGTAAAATGAAATGCAGTAGATCAGTTGGATTCATAATAACCCTCAGTTAAGAGGGTGTTGCATGACGAAGGATGTGCTCATTGCATTCGTCAGGGAAGTGCCATTTGATCCTGTCGCTTGGGGTCGAGGCATATTGTCTTGTCTATCTTCTGACTATTGTCCCAAGGCATTTTCCATTCGGAGAAGCACAGAATCGTAGAGAGCGACCATGGCTGGATCAGATTGGATTATTATTATAGCCAGAAGGAACACAAATAAATATGCAGTGGCTCGAATCCGGCTTTCCAATTCTCTGTCTCACTCTCACACACTCTTCCTCGTGCAGTGTGCGTGATCTGGCGGAAGAGAGCAAGATAAAACGGCTGGTGTGGATGTGGGAATAAAAAAGGAGATGTACAAAAATATTTACAGAATCTATATCTATATACCTGTATCTGTATCTATATATCTGTATACCTATATCTATATCTATCCCCCCTATAACTGATACACCTTTTGGGAATGTGATACCCTTTATACCCCTTCGAGGGTATGATACCCTATGTACATACCCGTCGCTGGACGTTCCAATAATAAACAAAGTAACTATTTTCATACAAAAATCACCATCAAACACTGCGACTGTCGGTGACTCCAGAACTGAGATTTCATTAGCTTCAAGCTTTTTTTATAAACAAAATCTTTTTATGGATCCAAATCCCAGAAGAATCGGTTTCAAGGATATGTTTTAAGTATAAGTTATAATAAAATATATTTTAATATGTTTTAAGCTAAAATATTGTTTTGGTTTCAACTTTATCTGTTTATTTTCTGTTCTCAGGACTTGCAGCTGAGTTGCAGGACTCCAATCGCAGCTAAGAGAGTCGCTGGCATGAGTCATATATATTATGCTCCGCTCAGAACTGAGTTGAGTGTGGCCCGGAGCCAGAATGCACTTAAGAGAGCCAACTGAAACCGAGTTGAGTGGGTGCTGGAGCCGAAAGGTAGCTAAGAGAGCCGCTGTAGCCCAGTTGCAGTGAATATTGAGTCGATGGCTTCGGCAAGAGAGTCTGAACTGGCGACTCAACTCAATTTGGATTTCAGCTCGGGACTGAGTGCACCAGAAAATCATTGAGAATGAGCTCTTTAAGTGGAATACTTTATGGAATAAGTGGTGTCTAGTGCAAGCCTTTTTAAGCCTTATTTTGTCAGTAGTTTTACTGAGAATTCCTAATAATAATAATACCTAATATAGCCAATAATTCCTAATTACAGCATTGATTTCAATAATAAAAAAAAATTACAAAAAACATTTACAATCAATAACACTTTTGTTTTTAATAATTTTATACTTTTAGAATAGGTTTAATTTTTGTAGCTCAAAACATTTATACATTTGTCCATAATATGTATTGCATATGCACATGAATACAAACCTTAATTTAACATAAAAAACGCCTATAAAAAACCAATAACAAATAAAAGTAAACACACAAAATATATATAAAAATAATACATATAAAATACATAATATATAAAAAAAAAAAAAATTGAAATGGAAAATATATTTAAATGGGCGATATCTTAGCATTACCTGACGAAACAAAGCAGCCCCAACTGGTTGGATGCACTTCCAATGCTCTGAGCTCTGTTTTTCACCGTCATCGCAACAGCCAATCCGCGGAATGATTTTTTACTAGAATTCTAGGATACTAGAATCATACATCACCTGATGACAGAATACGACCTCGGAACCACATCATTTGCATAAAATCTTTGGCTCTGAGTCTGTATAAATCCCATTGGTATAATAATCAACATATATTTAGTATATAATGTAATAATATTCCCATCATTGCCAAGTGAACTTCCGATTCGTTCAACAGAAGGATACAATAAATTTTCATAGCAGAATAATTGAAAACTGCACACCGCATAGGCGAATGCCTTAGTGGGCGGGCTGTGGGGGTGTCGGGTCCATAGATTGGTAGGTCCAATGGTAGTATTCATTTCCTCGAGGATAACATCTGTTCCACAGTGCTGGGACATGATGTAACAAATTTACTTTCTACACATTTGACGCATGTTGGGTCCTGTCACCAGCCCCAGCCCAGTCCCAAGCTTCCTTCTTCCATCTCGTTGCACGCTTCGCCACTTCTGTTGACAATCTATTTAAGCTGCGTAAATCTCCGCCAACGAAGTCCGTGCAACAAATTTGCAGACACTCTTATGTCTGCATGAGGGTCTATTGTAGGGACTCGTCTTTAAGTCGTGTGTCTTTCGAACAGCCTGGAAACTATACCATTCCCATATCCATCTGCATCTGCATCTGCATCTCAATCTGCCTGCGGCCCACTCCTCACCTTCTGGGCGGGGGTTGTATGCCAGTCTTGTGTATTAAAACTTGTCGAAATTTTATTCAATTTACGTGCACTTAGGCGACGATTGTGCACTAAGATATGACGCAGAAGTGGAGCTAGTCCCATCTTCACAGCGTTCTAGTGCACGGTAATAGATACGTATATTGTATTATATTATAGGAGATGCAATCGTTCCAATTCCCACCCACTTATCCAGCCCAGGCGCGGCTGTTCAGAGCTATTTATAGCGCTTTAATAGGTCTCTCTAGGCAGACTTTAAGTTATATTTAACCCAATCAAGGGGCTGTTCACCGCCTGACCCTTGGTGAGGCTATAAAAGCCGGGGGTCGACCGATCATCCGGCCGCACAGTTCAAGTTCAAGTGCAACGACGACGATGTGGCTCACTCCGATAGTGGTTGGGTGCCTTGTGGGCTGCCTTGCAACGGCAGCTCTGGGATACAAGAGCTGTGCGGCGGAGAAGCAATGTGTGCCCTCCGAGCAGTGCAACGAGGGTCTCCTGGTGGATGGGCACTTCTATCCGGATCGCAGCCGGACCATGTTGGACGAGCAGTGTCATTATATGGAGAAGTGCTGCAATGCCCACGATACGGTGAGTACTGATCATTATTCACAGATAGATACTCCTGTACTCGTGCTCGTACTCCACTCGAACAGCTACCCGCGGCCAGAACTCTGGAAGGAGCCAACTCCTGGCAATGCGGAGGACGCCATGACCTCTGGTACTATCTCCGGCCGTGGGGATACAAGCAGCAGGAGGCCAAGTTCGGCGAGTTCCCCTGGCTGGTGGCCATCTACGGGTCCGATGGGTATCTGTGCAGTGGCGCTCTCATATCTCCCCGAGCCGTCCTTACCACGGCCCGTTGCGTGCAGAACGAGAGTGCCGAGGAGCTTCGTCTGGTGGCAGGCGAATGGGATGCCGCCGTGGAGTTGGAGCCGCAACCCCATCAGAGCCGAGCGGTGGCCGAGCTGCTGCTGCATCCCAACTATACGCAAACGCCAGTGGCCCACAACATAGCAGTGCTGCTGCTGGCCAAGGAGTCGTCTCCCTTTGAGCTGGCGCCCAATGTTCAGCTGATTTGCCTGCCTCCGCCCCAGATGGTGTACAACTACAGCCAGTGCTATGTGTCCGGGTGGCGGCGAAGGGACTTCGGTGGGTCCGAGACCCTGCCCAAGCGCTGGACCCTCTACGCCCTGCCGCGGGATCAGTGCATGGCGAAGCTCCGGCTGTCCTACCTGGGTCGTCGCAACTCCCGCAATGACACGCTGCTCTGCGCTGGCGGGGACAAGGGTGACTTTGTCTGCGGCGATGGCGGCATGGATGGCGTGCCCCTGATGTGTCCGCTACCCGGCCACGACGATCGCTTCGTTTTGGCCGGCCTGCTGGCCAGGCCCGGACGCTGCGACGGCCCCCAGCTGCTTGGAATTTACACCAACTTGCTGTTCTACCGCCAGTGGATAGACCAGAAGCTCAGGGAACGCGATCTCGACATACGGCAGTACATGGTGTAACCGGATTGGGTGTCGAAGGTATCGAATACCCGCATATAAACAACGATTATTCCACGGAAACTGCTTCTGTGAGTGCCTTTGTTTCTGAGTCTGATCGGATTACGGAGTCTGATGCCGGGAACTGTCGTGGCACTGGCACCGTAAGCCCCTTTCAGTCGTTGAATGCCGCTTTGGAGAGGCACACGTGCCTCATTTCCTCCATAAGTATTTTCTTCCTTGCACGCAAGAGTGCTTTGAGGTCCCACTGAGAACCGCCACAGATGGGGAGTGCTAATCCACACTGGTGTAGAGAAAGAGAAAGGTGGGTAAGATACTTGCCACAAGACCTATAAATAGGTCTTATCGTGGCTTCAATTGTGCAATGATGCAAAACTTGATTTGTTCTTTGTCCTATTCGAATGTTAACGTGTTGACGCGGTGACGGTGTGACGGTCTGCTCGAGGGACCTTGGAAATGTTTGGCTCCATTTCGGTACACCCACGGGTGTGCGGGCTTTTTGGCAACTCCCGATGAATTATGGTCCGGGCGATATGTGGCTGCTGTTTTGCATATCCTGGTCCAGCCGATGGCCGTTGTCCTTGACTGCCCAAATTGAAAATTGAAAAATTGCTTATTGCAAATTTGTTGCCGCAATCGCTTGGGCAGGACAGGGCAAGGCAGGGCAGAGAAGAATAGCGAAATAGCGTTACATGCCCTTTGCTCTTTGGCTCTTTTCAACTTCCGTTTGCCATTTTGGCGTAGTGCACGTGCCGGACAACAGACAACGGAGAACGGAGTACGGACACGGAGAACCCTGTCCGTTGTCCACCCGCTGGCTGTTGCTGATGTTGCTCCCGTTTCCTGTGCGAGAATTTAGCAATATATTTTTCTTACTTCGTTTGACGTCCCTCGTATCTGGCGAACTGCAACTGCCAGGACACTGGGCACTGGCACTGGCACTGGCACTGGCAATGGCATTGGCAATACCGAAAGCAACACCAACGCCAAGGGAAAGCAGAAAACTTTTGCATATTTCGTACTTTATGCTTGAAATATTTATGATCTCATGCAATTTGTGGCTTACTTCTTGGTCTGTGCTGTCTGTGCTGTCTGCCTGTCCTTTCGTGTCCTGTGATGGTCTGGTCTGCTTGGTTGGTTCCTCGGCTGGCCACAGGACCAACCACATCTAGCGACGTGTCTGCCAATCTGTGAAATATGCTGCTAATGCACTTATTGCCATCGTTCTATTGAATTTATGTCGAAATCGTCTCAGACTTGTGGCCTCTGCCACAACCACTACCGTTTTCTCTTTTCACACTAATTTGAAGATAAGTTTTTAGGGTAGAAAAAGGACTAACCAGGCACTCAGCCTAATTGTGCATCCGGCACGGCCTGCACAATCAAATATTTATCTACTGCTACGTTATCAAATGATTTCTTCAGATATATGAAGGTTGAGAGCGGACCAGTAATGTGGCACAAAAGAATTGTAATGCCCTCGGACCTTGGCAGATTAATTGCCCATCCATTGGGTGGCTGGTTCTGTTCTGTTCGGGCCCTCATGGACAGAGAGACAGACAGACAGACAGACAGAGAGAGAGGCAGATTCAAGGGGATTCCCTGTCGTTGACACGGCTGGCTGTGGAAAAAAATCTGTTGCCTAATTTATGGCAAACGGTAGGAAAAGAAGTCCCCAGAGTGCATTTGAAGAGCAGTTAAAGACCACCGGATAGGGGTCGGGACTGGTTGGTCCTCACGATTTGTTTCACATTTCCCTACCAATCGATTAGGGCACAGGCTGCAGGCTGCAGGCTACAGGATCCAACGTCCAGGTTGCCAGATGTGGCCTTTGCTTGGGGATTTTGTGGCTTTGTGTTTGCCCTCAAGTGTCCAATCAGTTGGAAAAGGCTGTGGGCGCCTTTGAAAGCTCCATGACCAACGGGCACCGGAATTTGGCAAACAAATTTTGTGCTAAAGCCATTTTTACACAAGCCCACATACTTAAAGAACACACTGGCACACATTGACCATCTCACAGCCGTCTCCAGATCGTTGTGGTGGTGCTGGTGCTCCTGTTCCTTGTCCTGCGACTGCATGCACATCCGTTAAGGAAATTACCAAACAAGCCGCGCATCCGGCAGATATGCGCCTGCAGTGCTGCCAGCCATTTCCAGACTTCCTCCTCGTTCCCGTCCGCAACCTCTCACATACGATAACGAGAGCATCAAAACGAAGTGGAATTAATAAAATGCCCCCAGGCATGCTAAGAAAATACCGAAAGATACTCGGGATTCTATGGATCTATGGCGTGGGGCTTTTGTAAAACAGATTTGTCTTTATCTAAATGAATCTTTACCAAATTGAAACAATAATAGCCACAAAAAACGAATGTAAAACGCGTGAAAAACGAGTCGGAACACGTGCCGCGACCCTAAGATACCCGCAACTGGTTTGAGATGAAAAGAGGTGCTTGCCGGACCGCTAGGCCACTCTCTGGATTCCTTTGCTAAGAACCTGTATTGCATTCCACATTTTATCCATTAATTATTATTGGCAATATCTCCATTGAATATCTAGAACAGGTAACTATGGATTGAAGCTTTCTGGTTAGCTTCAGATCAAACAGAGCTAGATCCAGGCTAATATCTTCCGCTGTCTGTTAGGGCCTCATGATTTTCGTTATTTTAATCATAATTTCAAACACGCTCGACTGCAGCTGGCACAAGGAGGGAGCAAGGAGCGGCACAGGTAAGTCCATGGCCCTCTCCGGCAATATACGAGCAAACCAGCCATGATTTTACTTTTTACTTGGCAAACTCATCAAAGTTAAGTTGCCTATGCCCGGGCAGTGGTGGAGTGGTGGCAGTATCTTAAGCTGCCACAACGCCACTTCAACGGGAAAGTTGCCGAGTGAGTAGAAATATTTTCGGAAAGAGGCGGCGAGCCAAGGGAGAAGGACAAGCTGAATGTATCTCATAGATGCTGGCAACGGCTATTGCTCCGAATTTGTTTGCCTTGCTGAATTTTCATTTCAATTTCCTTGCTGTTTTATTTAATCTCACTTGAGGTGCAACGACGAATGCATTCGAGTGCCTGCCACGTTGGGGATTAAGCGAATTGGTTGTTGGGTTCCCATCTCTTTGTTGGTTTGTTGTTCCCCTTTTTCTCAATTTATTTCCGTTCTTATGATGCAAGAGGCGACGAATAAAAGTGTCAAAGAAATGGCATTTCATTGATAATTGATCCAACAGATGATTGCCCTCTTGTACAGCTTTTATATCATATTATTATTATAACGATGTCCGACCTGATGGAATTTCCTTTTAATTATTGGTGGGGCGATTCTTATTCAATTTTTACCCAACGCCATATCCTCTTCGACTCTTAGCGATGGCTTTGTTGATATTTCTATAGTTTCTAGCGTGAATTTCCTGAAGGTTCTACATCCACTTCTTTCTGGGTGCTTTTGGCGACTACTGTACCATTGTTGTCACATCTTTGCATCCCCAATGACAAAAGTTGAGCAAACAAAACTGTTTTTGCCGCTGGTTCTTCCGCTAACTTTTCGATTGCTCGGCTACAGTGTTCACAGGGTCAGAGTGGGTATCCCCACACATCCCCCCATCCCCCATACGTATCCCTTTTGTTCAATTTTCTTGCTGGTTGATTTTGCCTGTTGCAATTTGTTCCCAATTGATTTCCAAACACTTTGAATTTATTGGTTTTCAAAAAGTTTGAGGTATTTTATTGTTTCCGCTAATTTCTTTTGTCCAGCCAGGGCTCGAGAAGATGCCATGTCCCCGGGTCCCCCCCGGCCCCAAAAAGTTGCACCGGAAATGAATGGGAGGCGAGTGTGTGGCCAGGGGATGTGCCTCTTCAGTGGCTTGGGTATATGGGTCTCTCTTGGCGTTGATTATCATGGATAAAAGTGGGCAGATGCAAGATATTTTCGTCTGAGAAAGTCTATATAGTCCACTATAGTCTTGAGTTCAAACATATTGTAGATGAATCCCCTCATTTTCCTTCGCTCTTGCTCTGTAATATTGCCCTCTTTGGCACCGTTAAATCCATTTGTTCTACGTATTCCAAATGTGGCTAGGTCTGGCAACGCAGGCCCTCGAACAGCTGCTTGCCTCTGGCAGGGTCCTGTGCGCAGGTCCTTGGCTCTGTGCTGCCCAGCTGTGCCGCATTGTTTTCCTGCTGCCTTCGCCGAGAGTTAAATGTTTTGGCGTGTGTGTTTCGGTTATCCCCAAAAAGTTGTTAAACAAACCAATTGATAAGTGCTCAGCCGAATCGGTGGCCAGAGGGGCAAGTGAAACGGAAAGTTGTCCTGGCAGCGTCCTGTCCTGGTTGCGGCTTGCAGATTGGGGGCCAGCAGCACCAGTGCCGAGTGGAATGCTGTACAAAGGTGATGAAAGCACAACGGAACATCATCCAGAGCCAAAATGTACATAGATCATCGCTTAAAGATCAATCTCCATTATAAATAGACCAATTGTTGTATTCATATGGAAGGGATTCCAGTTCTTTCAGGCTGAATCGTTTCGGGCAAAGCCTTGCACAGATTTTTATTGATTTTTCCTTTATAATTGGCCAACGAGGAAAAGTTCGAGTGCCCAGAGAGTACGCACACACACACTCTCTCTCTCTCTCTCTCTCTCTCTCTCTCTGTGTGTGTCTCTGGACTTCCCTCTCTTTCGCTGTCGCTTTTCTTTTTGGACTTTTGTTTTGCTAAGCTTATTCGTAAAACATATGCAAATCTTTTCCCAGCTTATGTACAAAATACAAATGGAAACCCTATAAAATGCTAAATAAATAAATAAATATAAATATCGAATCCCCAATCGCATATCGCCGCCATAAAGTACACCAAGAAAAATCTCCATTAAACTGAGTCAAAAACAAAATAAACAAGTAAACTGTTGTCTGAACGCTGAAAACTAATCCCCCTGCTCCCTGCACTCCGACATGCTGAATAGCCGGAGCCCCCCTCAGTACAAGCAGCAGGCAAGGGGGGGCTCCGTTAGCTCCGCCAGCTCCACCAGTTCCGTAAGCGCCTCGGGCTCTTCGGCTGCTCTTCCCCTGCTGGGCCATTATCAGACCACCTACGGCCATCAAGGACACTCGCACGCCTGCTACCATCACCAGCAGCAACAAGCCCAGCAGCAGCAGCAGCAACAGCATCATCACGGTGGCCGCACCTCACTGACACCCACCATGAAGCGGGGCAAGAAGCAGTGGGGCACCAGGGAGCGATCCGGCATGAGTTTCCTCATCGTCATTACCTTCTTTGCCGTCTTCGGGCTGATCATCTTGACCGAGGTGAGTGGGCTCTATACTCGTCTACCCTTACTTAACGAAGGCTTGTGGCCGTGCCTGTTTCAAGGACACTGCGGTGGGGTATATAGGGGCTTACACTGGCAGAAGCGGAAATAGCTTATTTAGTATGTGTTTGACGAAGGGGAAAGTCATCCAAAAGAAACAGGAAATAGGCTTTATGCTTATATTTTTTATACCCGATACTCCAAAGGTTTAATGTACTTCTGTATATTCTTGATTACCATCAATAGCGGAGTCTGCTTGTCCGTCCCGATGAGCGTCTAGATCTTAGAGACTATACACATACGCCCCGCCCTCTTCCGCCTCCCTAAAAGAGAATGCCCTTGTCTACGAGACTGCAGAATCTGAATCAGATCGGATCATTATTATAGCCAACATTAGCAAATCAATTTTCTATCCCTCGCCCACACACTTTTCGTCGTGCAATGTGCGAAGGAGAGCCATGATGATTGAGCATCGGCTTTGAGCCGCAGCTTTGAATACTCTGGGGGGTTTGAGTTCTTCCTCACACCATGAGCACCATCGATGTTCTCCAGGAGCGTCTTTATGGCCCCAGGGGTCCTATCCAATGAAACAATTGGTTTAAAGTTTTTATTTTAAGGGCAATATGCATATTTGTAGCACTTACCTCAGCCATTTTGATTTTCTGAACTATATTCGATGGGTATCCCTCGATATTTTGGGTTACATGAACTATGTATTATTTAAATATGGGTGGACTCAAATGGCAGGAAAACTGTTCAATTAACTTGAATTTAAAATTCAGCTCAGGTTCAGCTTCATTATGCCAGTTAGAGCTGTGGAAATTAGAGAGCTTGAAATTCAAATTTCCCACAGTAAACACTTTCATATTCCATATTCCATATTCCGTGTTCCTCTGCCTTTGTCTCCGTCTCGTTGCAGGTCTTCATGATCGACGAGCGCACGCACAGCGGCATGCTGGCCATGCGGGCCGGTGGCGGCGGAGGCATCAGCCTGGGCGGACGGATGGGCGACTCGATGCCGGATTATGATAATGTTAAGGTAAGTTTTGCTATGCAAATCGGGCCTGGCCGCAGCATCCTGTGGGAACACAAAAGATGCTTTCGCCGGAATATGCCGGCGTTTTTTTTTTTGTCTGGCTTCCCGGGCAAAGGGATTTGCATTTTTAATACGTATCCATGGGTGCCACAATTAGCACTTCAACCGATTCGGTATGCCCCTCAAATTTTGCCCATAGGGAGACAGGGAGCCTAGGGAGACTGTGTAATATTTGATAAATATTTTACTTTCGTTAAAAATTTATTTATTGACACGAAGAAAAAGAAATTAAACAAATCGGATTGTGATTAAACAACATTTGTGGAAGAGTGAGGATTTTTTTGGTCGCTGATTGTACATTAAATTTCAAAAAAATCTTATCACAATCGAAATTACAAATCTTCAAAGTGCTTCTGGCCTGGACTTTTTCAAGGATCACGACGGCACGATGATGGTCTGAAGAGGGTCTGCGATAAGTTGTGGCCTCGTAGGCACGGTCCCGACTCCGTAGGCCTTGAAGTGGCGAGGACTCTACTCCAAGGACTAGGTGCAGACTGAGAAGATTTTAAAGTCTTCAAAGCGGCGGCGTGATTATGATTATTATCCAGCATAGCCATATCGATGGGTTGATCCTTGATTTAAAATATTTTGATATAGTGGTAATAAAGGCTGTCAGCTATGGAACTCGGAACCTTGTTAAATTTTAATTTTAATTAACTTCTCTATTACGCACTTCCATGCAAGGTGAATTTCTATATAAGGAAGTTTATTTCCAGACCATTGCAATGCTACTTATATTCTGCAAAAACAAATTCTATATTACGAATTTAACGTACAACGAATTCCCTTTGAGATTCGCTATATGGAAGTTCGACTGTACAAGCCTGAGGTTTATTGAGTTTTTATTGAATATCTTTATATACAAAAATTGTCTCTATTGATAATTCCGAAGGTCCTTGATAAGTTTGCTAAGAACAGTTGAGATGTCCTTGTACTTTATGAAACTTGATTTAGAGGAAATGATTTAATGGTATTATCCAGTCCATGATGTGTTTTTTTGTTCACTTGCAGGAAGACTACGATCTACTGGATGACAGCATTCTGAGTGATAATAAATTAGGTTTTGTACAGCTTCGTGACAATAAACTGAAAATTCAAGGTGAGTAGCAGCCAAGGCATCCTCTGCCTCTGCCTCCGCCTCCACATCCATTCCCAAAGCAATCATTGACACAATGGCCCGGTCGAAATCGAATCCTTCGATTCGAGCATAATGCTATTTGAGGAGCATTCGATTACAAAGGAGACGACAAAAGGGCCCATTACGTATACGCCGCATGTCTCATGCATTTCTCAATTTCTCATTTCACAGAAGCCGCAGGCGCCGATGGTCAACGCTTGGCCGGCATGCTGCTCAATGGAGCCAGGGCCGGAGCTGCGGTCGGACATGGACCGGGACCTGGACCAGGACCTGGCGCCGGCACTGGTGTGGGTGCGGGTGCGGGTGGATTTGGTGTGAATGTCCCGCTCATACCCTGGGGCCAGATGCTGCCCGGCAAGGTGGAGGAGACGCTGCCCCACTTTCCATTTGGCACGGCGCCCAGCGATGGTGCCTGGCAAATAGTCAACGGCACACGCTTCAAGTTCTTTGTCTACTCCGCCTACTTTGATCGGCGCGAGGGGGCGCGTCTGGTGCGGATTGTGGGGGCCACCAAGACACGGGGACCAGAACGTGTCTGGTGCCGGTTCTGGTTCGGTCCGCCCCCAGCCAACGGTACCGAGGGGCCGGGGGCAGCCGCAGCAGCCCGTGCCAAATATACCTCGGCCACAGTGATGGCCCGCGTCAAGGTGAGTGCAATTCGTGTGGCTTCAGTCTTGAAAATTCGATGGGAATTGTGCCAGTGAGCTTTTTCAGCAGCTTAGTTTGCGAGATATTTAATGATAAATCGATGGTTGTTTAGCGGCAGAGCAATGGCGAAAGAAGTGCGGACTGAAGAGCAATCAAGAGAGAGAAGTGAAGGGCAGCCGAAGGGCAGGCAGTCCGAATGCAAGCGAGGCTTCGACTAGAGCGCGACAGATCGAGAGAGCGAGAGCGAATGCGAAGATTACGCTAACTCTCTTTCGCTCAGCCCTACTGAGAGCGCTTTGAGGCCTTGCTTGATGAGAGAGAGAGATAGAGGGAGAAGAACGAAGTTTGCTGTTGTGTCGAAAAGAGCTTTGCGGGAGCTGCTCTACCGCTCTCCTTCTATCGCTCTCTCACTTTTCTCGTTTCTGCGCTTGCCCTTGGACAATCTTGAGCACAAGCAACGGCTATCGCTTTGGGTCTGGGTAACCCCAGAGAATACTTTCTTCTAATTTATGAAATCGTATTGAATCCGTAGATCATACGTGAGAACTGGAACCTCAAGTACAGTGCCTGTTTTATCCTCTGCCCGGTGCGAGCCCCGCCCCTGGATGTGCCGCGGTATGTGAGCGTCGTGTCGCGGCTTCGGGCGCCGCCTGGCAATCTGCTGACGCTGCGCAACACCGATCAGGATGAGGACTTTTCAGCGCATCCGCGCAACGCCAGCTCTGGCACTGGAGAGGGCAAGCGGGGTCAAGGGGTGCCGCCTCGGGCACCGCCCAGCGGCGATAATATACCCGACCGCATCGCCGTCTGCGTGAAGCCGTTCCACTTCAACTACGACAAGGCGCTGTATCTGATGGAGTACCTGGAGTTCTACGCCCTGCTGGGGGTCTCGCACTTCACCTTCTACAACCACACGCTGGGGCCGCACGCCTCCTGCGTGCTGCAGAGCTATCAGCAGGGCCTGGTGCCCGGCAACCTGACCGCCTTCGATCTGGAGCAACTGCAGCCGTCGGACGTGGCGAACAATGCGACGCCCAAGGTGCTCAAGTCGCTGCACTACCAACGGCCCACGGTCAGCATTCTGCCGTGGAGCCTGCGCATGCGCAGCCAGAAGGAGATCCGCACCGAGGGCCTGTTCGCGGCCCTCAACGACTGCCTGTACCGCACGATGTACCGATACAAGTACTTGGCCCTCGTCGATCTGGACGAGTTCATTGTGCCGCGCTACTCGGACACGCTCAACGAGCTCATTGGGTGAGTCCGGACCGTACTTTTGCGGGCCTTCTGTTCTCATCCCCGATTCCCTTCCAGCTCCCTGAATCAGCGCTTTCGCAATCGCAACACTGGGGCCTATTCCTTCCAAAACGCCTTCTATTACCTGCAGTTCGCGGACGATGCGCTGGCCAGTTCCGGCATCGTGGGAGGCAGCAATCAGCTGGCCAATGTCCGGGCCTCCCTGGTGACCCAACGCAAGACGCGCAGGTAAGTGGTCCCCAGAGGTGTACGAACTCCCCCACCCTGAACCCCCCTTTGTTTTTGTGTGTGTTCCCCAAGGCGGTACAAGCTGCATCCACAAAAGCAAAGATCCAAGTACATCTGCAAGCCAGAGGCCGTGGTCGAGGCAGGCAATCATTTCGTCTGGGAGTTCGGACCCGGCAAGGTATCCCTCAATGTCCCGCCCAAGGAGGCCATTCTGCAGCACTATCGCGTGAGTACATCCAAAGGGGAAACATGTATTGGCCAAATGACTCAATAAACGGTATTTTGTACTTTAGGTGTGCGAATTCGGTGGCAATGACTGCATTAAGGCCCCATCCGTAGTGGATCGTACGACTTTCAAGTACGTGAACCGCCTGTCGCAGCGTGTGGATACCGTGTACCGCCATCTGCGCCAGCGCTGCGATCTGCCGGCCCTGCCAACGCTGCCCAAGCCCAGGCCCAAGGAGGCCGACGATGTCCAGCCGGAGAAGCCAGGGGTACTGCATCAGATACGGCAGCTGAATGCCCAGGACACGGCCAAGGCGCCAGTGAGTGCCACAACAGCAAAAGCAACAACAACGACTACAACGACAAGAAAAACGACGACGACGACGACAACAACAACCACAACAACGAAGAGAACGGAAGTGAGGAAAGAGAATTTGGGAGAAGCAGGGACCACGGCATCCCCCAAGCAGCCCCATCCCCATCCCCAGTCCCCGCCAGTGCGCAAGAAACGAAAGCTGATCGTCTTCGAGGTGAACGATTTCGGGGTGCCGGTGGCCCGCGTGGAGTACCAATGAGTGAGGGACTTGGCTGGCAACATTTAACCACAGTCCGTGCCAATGTCCGTTTCGGTTGTGCCCCAGTGCTACGCTACGGTTGTTCGACTACATTTAACCATTGCCAACATGCTCAATGATCCTCTAAGCTGATGATGACTTGCTCACACACCCCAAAAATAAGGATAACGAGGAGGAGAAAAACTCCTCAGAATTAAGTGAAACCAAAGCAATAAAATGATACATACATACATATATCTCCCATCCAACACTTTGATCTAAGCTGCATTTTACATAGGCTTGATAGAGACTTCATTCCTCGATTAATTAGGATTAAATAGTAAGCATAGAAGAATACTCGTATAATTTCATTCGGTTGTATCTAAACTTTATCCACTATATTTATGTATATTTTGAAATACACCCATGTTTCATTACTCCCGGGCACAACAACAACAACAACAACAACTTATGAAACAAACAACAATGAGACTTTATGTTTGGTCGAATACGAGTACTTTGATGAGATATTTTCGGTGATTTTGGTACTAATTAATTCCTATGCAAAATTCAGAAAATTCCTAAAGAAAAACACACACACAAAAGATCGTGCTAAACGAGTAGTAACTAGTGCACAAAAATATATACATACATATAGGAAATAAACACCCTATGAACTGTTAGTTGTACGAGTACGAAGGCATTTTAGTTGCAAGACTCCGGGATATTATGGCCCGGAGCCAAGCCGCATAGACTCTGAGTCAATGGATAGTTTAGGCCACCTTTGCTAAGCTAACTAGTCTAGTGCTAACCGTAAACAAATTAGTTTAGTTAAGGCAGACAAGACATTTAACACAACTGAAACGAATTTTCAATGCTTCGAACTTAAAGTAGAACCTGGTTTGGCCTAGGCGCGCAGTGACATCTAAGAGTATAAGATACTAAATGAACGAATTCCACAACTAATTATAAACAATACAGTGTATGTAGTTCTTAAGCAACAAACAACTAAAAACTAAATACTAATGGGCATTCGTGTATTCGATTATCATAAAGTCAATAAACAGAAATCAAAAACAAAACCTTGAGGGGCAGATATGCAGGTGTACTCGTCATGTGGCAGAAGCACAAGAACGTAATGGAGGCTACCATCCAGCACCTGTTGCAGGGAAAGGAGTACAAGGTCACGGTCCTCAGCCGGGACAGACCCAGCATAAGTCTATCTCAATGGAGGATAGAGCAATTGCCATTGCCTTCTCTTGCAGCGACTCTAAATTGAGCGAAGGCGGATTGGGGGCCTCAGTGACATGAGCAACCAGCGGGGCTGGTGAGGATAGCCATGTACGAGTCGTGGACATTAAGACAGCATTATAAGCCCCCCATCACTCGTCTAACGCCGCTATTTCTAGCAGACTTGGCCATCAAAGACTTCAGCACAACGATCATTACGGAGACTGATGAGCTAACCAGGGGTTTTCATAATTTTCTTTCTTTAAATCGATATGTTGGATCAATATTTCTGAGAACAGATCCAAGAACTGGTTCCATTGTAATAGATCCCCATCAATCTTTGGGATGCTGATGCGCGGGAGATGTCATGAATGCCAGGCAAGAGAACCCCAGTGCGGAAAGACCTACAGATCTCTCTAGGATATTATCTTTTCCTGGTACAGCCGGGCCTTGTAATATTACATCTTTAAAAGCATTTTCAAAGCTTTGGATTATTATTTCTTCCCAATTTGTAACCTTCAACTGGGCTTCCATTTAACCCCTCCAAAGTTCAACCTTCCTGTGTGGTCTCCCGCCTTTTCCCATCTCAGACATTCGTAGACAGACGATCGAATCTTTATGCTCAATCATTTTTCCCCAAGCCCCTACAAAAACGAAGCGAAAAAAAAGTTAGGAAGGATATTCAATAGGCAAATCGATGGAGAGCTACGATGGAGTATACAATATATGTTGTGGCAATGTTATATGCTCCTTAAGAGAAGATTTGTTTTAAAGAATTTTAAGGAATTTTTCAAAAAGTTTGTTAGACCATTTCGTATCCCACAAAAATATATATTTGAAACCACAACTCCGCAGAAACATCCCTCCAAAACCCCCTCCCTACAACCCGTCGTTTGCTCAGAACTAACCCAAAACTATCCACAGAAATATCCTCAGCAATATCCCTAGATCTATCTAGATACATAGCTCCCCGCAGAAACCCCAAAACGGACTAAACTTTACCCTCCAACTCTTCGAACAATCTGTAGAAATATACCTGAAATCTACCGAAAGAACTACCCCTAGAACTTTCCTTCAGTGTCACGTTTGGTTCTGGTTCGTTCGAAATTTTAGTCGTATTCCAAATTTCAGTAAAGCAACACCTAAAAATCTGAAATAGTTCCGATCCCTAGATCCTTAAATTATGTTCTCTCCCAAGAAGTTCGACGACCGTTGGGTATCCCACAACAAGGAAACCGACGAGAGGTCGCGACAGTCCAGACCGGGGAGCTCAAGAGGCAGTCGCAATACGATGACAGAGAGGGCTGATGGGAGAAATAAGAGCGAGCCAGGAACGGTCTACGATGCCACGGTAAATCTGAACATCAGTGACTGCCTCGAGATGCTGGAGAGCAGCCCCCAACCCGAGGAGGCGTTCCACCCGAACTCCCGGGAATGCTATTGCGCGAGGGCGTGGCTGAATGCTCTGACATCCATGCAGTGCAACACGGTAATGGAGGCGTGCCTGCGCAACGGATACATTAGCGCGTTGAGTGTGTGCCTCAACCAGAAGAGCCTCTACGGGATCTTCGAGCAGATGCCCCCCGAGGAGCTCAACTGGATGGACATTCTGGACACCACGACTAATGCGTCGTCGATTCATGTATCATTCAGGTCAAATGAGGCGTTGAGGCAGCAGTTTGTTCCCTTCGAGTCAATGAACTTGTCCAGTCTTCCGTCCTTAAGCGAGCAGGAAGAGATGGTGCGACAGCAGCGTTTCATAGAAGAACCTCAGGTGTTCCGGGCAGAAGAGCTGCAGAGATTCCAGCAAGAGCGGCAGCGATATCAGGAACAGCCCCCCCAAACGGAAACCTTTTACGATCCTGACACCTTTCCACCGCCGCCCCATTTGCGTCAACAGTCGGGCGCCTACTACAAGCCGTCGAGCGTTAAATTCTACTCCTTCGGGGCGGCCCCTCGCTTCCAGGCGGCAAACCAAGAAGGAGCAGACTCCTGCCCATCAGGTGCCGAAGGAGGAGGTTTGGCAACTGCCGTCGTTGGTCCCACACGTTCGATTCTTAGGCGGAAGTGCTTCAGCGCGCAGGTCCCTCGTGTTTATCCATCATATCTCAAGACGCCACTGTCCTTCAATGCCAGACGTTCGGTTGATGATGAGATTTGGTACACAGGTCCAATACAATCCTATAGAATGAAGTTCCCAAGCCAGGAGTACGTGTTCAAGGGATCCAAACAGTTCAAGCGATCGAAACAGGTGCAGCAAAAGGCTCCTGGCACCCAGACGAATCACTGGAAGCCTGAGGCCATCGAGGAGGACTCTGACAGGGAGAAAACCGGTCAAACTGTGATCTCAAGGAGCCAATGCGACATGTCCCTCCTTAGGGACTGCATCCGTCGCGAGCTGCGCGGGGAATCACCCGTGGGAGCAAACGACTTTCTGGAGGCCGAAATAGTGCGCTACAAGAGCATTAACAGCCGATACAGGCGCGACGATCCCGAATACAAGGAGAAAATGCTCGCAGGGGATCCCAAGACGCAGAGGACATACCTGTTGCTCAACATGGAGAAGGATTTGACCAGTTATTATGCTGTTCAGAGGCAAAGAAAGGTCACAATTTAAGAGGATTTAGAAGGATTAAGGACTAATTTCAAAGATTTCAGAATAAGACTAAAATTTATCAGGAATATGCTCATCGAAACCACTGAAACGCATTTTGAACATTTTTTGGGGGAACACAAAATGGGTATTGGGGTGGGTATATCAGATTTGAGAGGATAATGGGTGTGTGTAACGTCCAGAAGGAAGCGTTTCCGACCCCATAAAGTATATATATTCCTGATCAGCATCAATAGTCCAGTCGATTCAGCCATGTCTGTCTGTCCTTCCCTATGAGTGGCTAGTGCTCAAAGACTTCTGTGATATGTCACTGTTATATTTCAAAACTTTGCAGCAGCTGAGTTTTGACGCCAATGAGACAAGACACCCACCTTTAATGTTACTGTTAGACATCCTGCTATTAATTCTTTATTTCCAGGATTATGGCTGTGGAAACTGTCACTAGGAGAAAAGAATATGTCCTACGTTAACTTATACTCGTATATCTGTGTACATAATTATTTTAGCCAAGACAACTACCTTTAATGTTTCTGTTAGACATACTGCTATAAATTCTTCTATCTTCTGTTATAAATTCTGCTACATTATGTGGATTAGCTGAGAAGCTACTGTCATACTAGCGGAAAAATATGTCCTACATTAACTTAAGCTCATAAGCATGTATACATAATTATTTGTGCTACCACCTTTAAACCTTTAAACACCTTTTACCACCTTTCTATTAAACATTCTGCTATATTACGAGAATTAGCTGAGAAGCCAATGTACATTAAATTAACTTATACTCTTATACAAGTGTATATATATAATTATTTATGCTTAAGCCAAGACAACCACCTTAAATGTTTCTGTTACACAGACTGCTATAAATTCTGTTATATTAAGAGGACTACAGACTCCTTTCGAGGATTATAGTTGAGGCCACTGTCATTCTTTGAGAAGAATATGTCCTACGTTAACGTATACTCTTATATCTGCCAAGAAGCCAAGACAACTACCTTTAATGTTTCTGTTACACAGCCTGCTACAAATGAGACTGCTATGAGGATTATAGCTGAGAGCCCACTGTCATACTAGGGGAAAAATATAGGTTTTACCCCACATAGATACGTTTTTCGCAAAACATTCCATAAAAGTTCATCAAAGTTCTCCTTATTCATTCAATGGAATGACTGAGTGGAACTTCAACTGAATGAGTGAGTGAATGCATTAGTGAGTGGAGCCGCATTTTTATCGTTATCTTTTTTGCTGTGTGTGTTTTTTCGCCTGGTTTTTGTCATTGAAGTACGACTATTTGGTGGAATTTAATTTACTTGACTTTCATTTGCAGCAGAACACGCAGAACACAGAAGAAAAAGAATGCAATGCCAAGATAATAAATAGTTTGATTCGAATTCAGTTTCAGTCTCCATTTTCCATTTTCCATTTTCTAGTTCTTTTTTGGTTTCGTACCTAAATAATGACTTTTGTGGGTGGGCTGGGGGGCGGTAGACACAGTTGGAACGAAGATAAAGATCTGCCAGCAAAAGAAATTTGTTTTTGCAGATAAATTAAGGCAAGCGGTGGGCTACAGGGAGGAGGGTTTTTTTTTTAATTAGATTAAGTGTTAGTTAATAATGGGTTACAAATTAATTTATCCACAAATCCACAAAATTATTTTAAAAATACAGCACTGTTCTTTTTAGAGATGTTAACAAAATTGTTTTTATTTATTTATAACTAAATATAAATCAGTTAAATTTATTTTTTGATTTACTAGAGGGCACTATTTACTATTTAACTATTTACTATTTATTTATAAGCATAAATCTGTTAAATTAATTAATTAATTTATTTACCAGAGGGCAAGCCCTGAGAACCCCTGGCTCACTCGCTTCGATCGCTGGCGACGGTACGAGTAAAAAATCGAGCCACGACGACCCACAACTTCTTTTATAACACAGAGAGATTATAATATTAATTGATCCCATCTTTGAATCATATAAAAATCCATTAATACCACTGTAATTCTATCGACTCTCATCAAAAATAGTCCTCGATTTCCACGGTGTCTGCCACAAGCCCCTGGCTGTAATGCGGGTTTCATGGTTTGCGGCTACTTTAATCTCTCGTTTAAATACTTTTCCGCAGATAGTATCATGGGTATCATGGATATCAGTGTTAATTGTAACCCTAAAAAAACGTGTATCATATCACAAAACAAAGTGCAGTCCACACACGTCTGTCTGTCTGTCTGTCTGCTCTGTGGCCTGCCACCGATGACCGCAAAAACAACATCAAATGGGAGACGGGAGACGGGGGGCGGGGGGGCGGGCGAGCCTTTTCCTGTTGATTGGAAAAACTTAACACGCACATTAACACTGGGGAAATGGGGGAAAAATGGTAAAATTTCCATTCAACGAAGCGGCAAATTAATGAAATAAAACTTAACCTCAAATTTCATAATAAATACCAAGGTATTTTCCACGCTGGCAAAGAGATTACCAAAGTTTTGGTATCCCAAAAACTTCCGCACAGACACTTTATTCGTGCGGTTTTCATCGTTTTCATCAGGTCTTACCTACCGCAGTGGAACTTTATTAAAAATCACTTAAAAATAACCAAAAATAGCGAGGAAAATGGCCACAAATGATGACAATGATGGGAGGCTGGCGATGGTGGTGGCTGTCGATGATGCTAATGATGATGCCAGGGGTTGATTGGGTAAACGAAACGACGATGATGATGATGATATTGTTGGTTCCCACACTTTTTGGCGGCTGTGTTGGGGCGTAAATTTAGCATAATTCAGGCCGGCAACAGCTGTTGCCACAAACGATAAAGGACGCCCCACCCCCATGAATGGGGAAGCAGCAGGAATTTACACCCTTCTCTCATCCCTTTTTTTTGTGGGGGGGTGGCGGGGAGGGGCAAATAGAGCTATTGGAATGTTTATAAACACACAAAAATTTTTAGCACGACTTCATTTTTCAAATTCCTTGAAAGCCAGCGGCAAAAGCCATTCCCCCCACGCTCTTTCCCTTTCCCATTCCATTTTCGTTGCCCTTGCCAGAAGGCAACACACACACACACACAACCCAAAAGAAAAGCGGAAAAGCTTCCAGAGAGCACAAGTCAGAGAGTCAGGAGCCAAAAGAGTCGTCGCTGGCAGGTGTTGCATTGAATTAATGGTGCAAATGGCATTTCTATTGCCTGCGAAATTGAGTTGCAATAAATATTTATGCACTAAAGTGAAAAATTGGCAAAGCAAAAGACACTCCCAGGGGGGACACACACAGAGAAAGAGAGAGAGAGAACTCACATGTGTGTGCGTGTGTGTGCGTCTAAGTGTGAAATCAAAGTTTTCCCTGGGTTTTCCGGCACAAAATGAATATTCCCCATTATTTAACTTCATTTTTCAATCGCTGGGGTTTCCGGGGGCTTGGAATGCGTTGCAGTGTCCCTCCTCTTACCAGAAAAAAATCTATTAATATTCATATATCGGAGGCCCCGCCAGTCGAAAGTCGACAAATCAAATGCAGCAGGCGCCAAATGCAAACAAAGTCAGGGTTCGACGGGGGAGCCAGGAAAACATATGAAATGGAGGGATTGATGGAGTCGGGAGTTTCGAGGGAAGTATCTGTGATAAATGACGAAGTTCATATGCTCTAGGGAAACAGTTAATAGGCGGACATTACTCAGAACCATAAGGGATTGGGACAAGAATCTAGGATAATAAAAGAGCCTATCTAATAGAGAAGTATTCGATGGACATTGATCTTGATGCTGCACAGTCGGAATTGTCTTCCAAGAAAGATCTTTGAATGTCACCGTGTCCTGCAGCAGCGCCCCTCGGTTGGTGGAGGGCCACGTTACAAAAGATCACTTTTTTCTCCCTTAATTTAATTCAATTCAAGGCTAATTAGAAGATATTCCACCAATCAAGTGTGTCCCTCCTCTTAGCCATCCTTGAGGTCAAGTTCCCGGTGCGTGTTCGTCTGTGGAGCACGTTCGTCTAGGTATTATGCCATTTCCTGGCAGCAGGGTAAACAAACATAACCAGCACAAACGCAAACTGAAACGAGTTCATTGTTTCAGCCTTTAGTTTGCATATGATGGGCATGGGAGGAGGACCAGACTGGCAGACACCAGGATGGTATCCTTCGGTTTGCTTTCTGCAAAAGGTTCGGGGACTCAAGTTGGACTCGCTTTCAGTGAGTCGCCGTTGAACGGCAACGATGTCGTTACCATTGTCCAGCCATTACGCTGCAAAAAATCTGTCAATTACAAGTAAGAAAAGCGCAAAAGCATGTCTATCACACGACGTCGAGGCCAGTCCTAGAGGCCGGTCCGTAGCAAAAGCAAACAAACAAATGTTGTGCCCCTGAATGTGGCAATGGAGTGGAGTAGAGGGGAGTGCTGTGGTGTGGAGTGGAGTGGAGTGGAGTGGAGTGGAGTGGAGTGGCTGTGTAGGCAGTTACGGGCAAGGGACTCTTTTGATGGAGGTGGAAATGAAAGCAAGACAGTGGATCGACCGCGGCAGGTTGCATGTCTAATGTTTTGGTGGGGGGGGGGGGGGGTGACGGGGGGACAGCCAGATCTCCCCGCCCCAATACTTACCATTTTCCTGTTTCTATTTCGAGTGGTTGGAAAAACCAACGGAAAATTGTGAAAGAACCTTTGTTTCAGGTTTGATTACGCGTCATGCAGCAGCGCTCGTCGGTCGGTTTGAAATAAACTAAAAGATAAAAATGATAGAAATTCGAATCTTGCCATTAACTATCAAAATCCTTGAGCCTTGATCCCAAACACATTGTCCGCACAAATCCCCCAAATATTACCCCCTCTCCCCCCGCACAAAACGGCAACCAATCAAATGGAGCCGAGCCCCTAAGACCTAACAGGAATATTTGAGCTCTCGCCAGAGCCCCCCCTCCTTCCCAATGCCATTACAAAAGAGGATTCCAAAGAGATGTCTCTCTACCAGCCCCTCCCTGCCCCTCCATCATGTTTCCGTGGTAACAGCGGTCCGCAATGGCTGCGAAAAGACAATGAAAGGAGAATCCAAAAAAATAAAAACGGAGCATAAAAATCATAGAAAAA